TCTGCCATTCTAGGCAATGCGGCAAGCCAATAATGTGCGGCAGATGGGGCAGTGCGCCCCTTCAGGCCGTGGACGAGGCCAGTGGTTTGCCTTGAGAACACACTCGCGCAGCTCGATGCCGTACTCCTTCCTCAGGTGATTGGAGGCGTCACGCAGTACTTCCAGGACTTTGTCCGCATAGTTTGCAAAATGAAAGCCATTGGCGACGGCCGTGTGACCTAAGACCGAGACTATCAACGGCTTAACGCTGGAGTTAGGTGTCCGGCCAGATCTCGTCGTGGTAGGGCACCATCTGCCCCTTAAAGGCTCCACAAGGGGCGACGGTGAGGCTGACAGTGACAGAGCAGAACCGATAATCCAGGCGGCTCCTCAGGCCACCGATCGTTCGATCGCACACTTAAGCTTTCGCCTTTTTGTAATTAATTTCTTAGAAATTAGAAAACTTCAGAAACACGTGGCGCTTTGCTCGGAATATCGGTGTATCGGTTTCGATTTGGTTATCGAAGCGTGGGACCAGAGACTTTTGTTAACTTAACAGCACAAACTGTTCGCGTAGCAGAATAAATTGTGCCCTTAACAGCACAAAAGAAAATGTAACAAACACAAACAACTTTTGGTTGAAAATACAAAATGCTAAATTAATTATTTAATTAACTGCAGCTCGCTTTGGTATTCGGAATTTGAATGCTGATACGTTGTGGGTGTGGCTGTGGATTTTGGGTGCAGGATGGCATTGAAAAAACATCGACTGCAGCGATATTAATATCGATGTATTTGCTGTGTTTTCTCTAGTACGTTTTGCCACGTTTTCAGCGAAACGCACAAATGTGTGTGTGTGTGGACACATAGAAGCATACATGCATATCATATATGTACATATATGTATTCATGTAAATTGCTGCGAGGTCGGTCCTGTGTGTTTTTTGATACGGTACGGTCCTGCGTCATTTGGCGTCCAATTTAGTTTGAATTTCTGTCGCCCCCACACAAAAGTCAGGGCGAGTCGAGAAGAGACGAGACGAGACCGCCTGTGGACTTAACGACGTCTGCTTTCTTCTAATGACCAATTTAATTATGCACGTTGATTGATTGATTCAAATTGATGGAGTGGCAGGCAGCAAGCAGCCGCATGAGGCGCAGCAGTAAAGGAACCCAAAATTCAACAGCGAAAATTCCAAACTAAGTGCAGATATTTCTGTTGATACAGCCCAGCCACAACTGGCAACTTGTTTTCCTCATTATGGCCATTAAATGTGTATTTTAATTTGCAAGGGGGCTACATCGTTGGGCAACAAACAACAAGAAGATGAAGACAGAAATTAAGGCAGGAGAATTCACGGAAATATATAAATGAAATGGAAACAAATTTCGAGAGGCGTTAACCTGCGCTGGAGATGGCAATTTTTATGCTGAAGAACCAAAAAGGAATAATATTTCAGACAGGCAACGGTACGTATTGCACGCCCCTCCCCGCAGCAGTGACCAAATCTAAGCTAAATTCCATCTATCTAGAGTCTAAGAAATTAAGTCTAGAGTGTGGAAAGTGTTGAGTGACTTTTGTGGCTTTAACTTACCGAACATTGGCCAGGGTGTGTCGTCGATTCTTGAGATAGCGACTGTGGTACTTCTGTAGGTCCCCAATGGAGCCCTGCTCGGCCTGCATCTTGCTGGTGGGCAGCAGCTGCGAGTTGCTCGGATGCGAGGAGGCTAAAGCGGAGGCCGACGACGAGGTCAGCCGATGGTGGGCCGCAACGCTGACGCTGCTGCTGTTCTGGGTGTTGGTGGTGGTGTTGCCAGTGCTGCCGCCGCTGGAGGCTAGCGTCTCGTTCGAGTTGCTGCCAATGACGGTGTTGGCCGATGAGGAGCCGCCGCCACCGCCGGCGCTGCCGGTGGTGCCGATGGGCGCTAGGACGATGCGCGACCAGCAGGATTTGTGCGGCTTGCGGAACTTAAGCTTGATGCGTGGCGACGGTGTTGAGGCACTGCCGTATTCGGTGGCCTGGCCAGCACCGACCGATCCAGCACCAGCACCTCCACTCGCTGTCGCTGCCGCTCCCGTGGACGATGTGGTGGCCGACGAGTGATGGACACTCTCACAGCTGCCGCAGTAGCCCGCACCAGCGATGGTGATGGGCGGCAAGGTCTCTGTGCACTGGCTGCTCAACGAGTGCTGCTTGGAGTTGGCCTGCTCGGACTCCTCCTCCTCCTTGATGTGCGGCAGTGGTGAGGTCTGTGGCTGGCAGCTGCAGCGCGACTGCTGCGTCTGGCTCTGGCTCTGATTGGGATTCTGGGTCTGGGTCTGGCTCTGGCTCTGACTTGGATTCGTGTTGCTGTACAGACTGGATGGGCTGGTCACTGAAGTGAGCAGATTGCCTGTGGCAGCGACTGCTGCTGCTGCTGCTGCTGGCTGCGTCACTGGCTGGATCAGGCTGGCCGCTGGCGCTGTGGCTGCGGTCGAGCCCAGCTGCTGCACTGCTGCTACGGCTACGGCGACGGCAACGGCGGTGGGTGAGACACTCGCGTCACTCAGTGTCTCTGGTTCGGCGCGACGGGCCACAAGGCCGCTGGCTAGGGATGCGGCGGCTATGTCAGCGGCGCTCAGCTGCTGCTCCAGGTCCTCGTCCACGTCGTTGATGAGCGTCTTCAGCGATATGGGCGTTGTCACGGAAGTGCCGCCGATCGTGTCGGCCAACGAGTGCTTCTTCTCGCTGCTGGTGTACGGCTCCAGTACGGACTCGCCGGTAATCAGCTGCCGGTCAACGGCACCTGCTGCTATTCCTTCTGCTCTGTGTGGCTCGGTAATCGTTTGATCACCTTTGGTGGCGGCTTTCCTTTTGGCCTCGTCCTGATCCACAACCCCCGACTGATTCGACGGATCAATGGTGTCCGAAATGTTCTTGTTGTTGCTTTTGGGCTCTTCGTCGTCGTCCGGTGTCTGTGCGGGTGTTTGGGGCGGACTTGTGGCGGGGGCTGCGGAGCCGCCCCCGCGACAAGGTAGGCAACAGCGAAACACTGTGCCACCGAAGCACTTGGTCCTTGTCTTTGATTTACGCTTTGCTTGCCCCTTGCCGCTCCCACAGCCGTTACCACTACAACTGCCTGCGCCGGCAGTGCCTCCTCCAGTGCCTTCAACAGCACCAGCACTAGCACCCAATCCTGCTCCGCCTCCACCGGCACCACCGCCCCCGCCGCCCCCACTGGCTGCCAGGCCGTTGACGTTGCAGTTGCTGCCACCTACTGCAGCTGTTCCACTGTGGCCGTTCCCGTTGCCGTTTCCGTTGTTGCCGTTGTTGCTGTTGCTGTTGCTGTTGCTGCTGATGCGATGCTGCAAAACCAAACAAACAAACAAAAAGGAAGGGATATCAGATACTGAGCATTAATTGGATTTGATGGTGTATATGTATGTATGTGCTGGACTGTATGTGTATGTGTATGCCCGCCCCTCAACCTTGGCCGGCGGCTGGTCCGAACCCTTTTGCCCCGCATTCTTGCTAAACGAAAAACTCTGCGCAAGCCTCGCCAGACGCATCATTCCCCAATCAATCGTTGGTCCTGGTCACAGGAGGCACATGCTCCCTCACAAGGCTCTCTGCAATGAGATAAAGAAAGAGAGAGAGAGAAACAGGATAAGTAAGTTAAGTGGCAAATGGTTTATATCCTATTATTAATACAATTAATAAATAAATATGTGTTTGATTTTTATTATTAATATTAATTAATAAATATATGTTTTATTGTTATTATATATATTAACATAATTAATAAATAGATATATGTTTGATTTTTATTATTAATTTTAATAAATTAATAAACATATGTTTTATTATTATTAATATTAATACAATTAATAAATAAATATATGTTTGATTTTTATTATTAATATTAATTAATTAATAAATATATGTTTTATTATTATTAATATTAATACAATTAATAAATAAATATATGTTTGATTTTTATTATTAATATTAATTAATAAATATATGTTTGTTATATTATTATTAATATTAATACAATTAATAAATAAATATATGTTTGATTTTTATTATAAATAAACTTGTATTATGTTAATATTAATTATTTAATAAATATATGTTCTATTATTAATATTAATAATAGAATAATATTAATAATTCTATATAATTCAACTTATTGTAAAAATGCTCATCTTGGATATCTTTCTTGACTTGTGGGCCAATGAAAATACCTGCGTAAAATATCAGTTATTCATTAGTTCTTCTTGCTGGTCACTTAAGCGAGAAACTTCTGATATTTCATTTTAAAGGAAAAGATCCGATAAACATAAAAAAAAAAAAAATTTACTTAAAACAAACGTACCGTTTGCTCAATTTTATTTGTTAGTAGCTTATTTTGTTAAGACTAGATGGCACTAGAAAGTTCATGTCCAAATTTAATACCATTCCATAAAAAAAAAATTTGTTTAAATGCCAAAGTTCAAGAAACATTAAAAATGATAGAAAACTTCAACTTTGAGTCGCTATATCTTTAGATATATCCATTCTATTACCACGAATCAAAAATCTTGTGAAAGCTACTACAATTTTCTTGTCAACCCATTACTTTTTGTGGATATCCGCGCTGCAGGTTCTGAGTAAAAATTATGAAAATGCCAGCAGTCATCGAATTGCGGTTTTTGAATTTTGAAAACAAGATTTTGTGGGTATATTGCAAATATACATATATTGCTAAGTATGAGAAAGTGAGCTACTCATCACGGCCCACAACCTACATTTTTTCTCGTGCAAAGTACATTCAAAAGTGTTATTAATATTAATTAATTAATAAATATATTTTTGATTCACTAACTAAATATATAAGTAACTACGAATGTTGAGGCACACAAATTTACTTTTCTTTCATTACAATTTCTTTTATTTTTTCTAAATTCTCCCCCTAGATGCCGCTGCCCCGTGCCGCCACAAAGTATGCCACAAGTCGCCTGCCACAGCACAGCACAGGTGTGTGTGTGTGTGTGTGTGTGTGTCTGTGTGTGGGGGGTGGATGCACGAACTGTATGTGGGCTATCCACATATTTGCCAAATAAAAGTTTTTGCCAACATCCGCGACCTTTCAGCTGCACAAACTGACCCACATGCCTGCCACACACAGCACACAACACACAGTGTGGCGTGCCCCAGCTTCGGCTCATTTCAGTTCCGCTGTCGGCGATTACCTTAAATCAGTCAGTCCATCAGCGGACGGAATCGAGCACTGGCACACAGCGCAGCAATGCCGAGACTGGAATTAACACTGAGACTGAAGGTGCTGCTCCTGCTGCTGCCCTGGCTGCTGGTGTGCATTTTCTTCTACAAACCCGAAGACTTCACGGAGCCGGATGTGTACTACAACAGCTTGGACTATCATCCAGAGGACTACATTGATACGTTCACAGGACTGCAGGAGGATGACTACTTTCAGTGATGTGATGGATAATTTGTTGCTGATTTTTTTTTGTTTCAGTTTAAGTTAACGTTGGTTTACCATTGAAGTTTAATAAGTAATTAAGAATAGAATTATAAAAGTACAATAAGTAAATTGAATTTCAACGTGGCGACATTCGTCGTCTGTTCTCTGATCACAGCCAGCATGACAGGGCAGGGCTATCTTGACACTCGCAGCGTCTCTTTCGCGGTCTCTTTGCGCTGTCAATAATTTGCACTCGCTCGTTTGTGCTTTGCACTCGCCTGTGCACTCACTCGTTCGTGCTTTGCACTCGCCTGTGCACTCGCTCGTTCGTGCTTTGCACTCGCCTGTGTACTCGCTTGCGATTTTTATAACGATTAGTACACATTTATGTAAATAAATCTGCCATTAAACAATTGAATGTCTCTCCCATTGTGGGCACCGCAGATTGTTATTGGCCTTATGTAAATATTTTGTTTTGTTCAAGCCTAAATCCAGTCAATTCTTAATTACCCAATAATCCAATTCAAATATTTGGTACCAATCGAAGCTCAGAAATATACAAATATTTAGATCATTTAGTGCCTTGGACAATGGGCTGGCTGGCTGATTGTCATAATATTCGAATTGGGTATAGTCAGTGTCGTTGCTAAATTTAAACCTCATGATAATGGAGACCTTTGAACAAGTGGATGGAAATTTCGCAGTTAAAATTGGCATTCAAAACTAAATTCATGCGCGAATTAGAAACAAATATTTGCTCAAATGACAATGAAACAGAACACATAATACAAAAACAAATCATGTCTATAATGTGTGTGTGTGTGTCTACACTGTAGACTCTACAGACATCTTTGTCAGCTGATCTATCAAATGAAACATGGATGTCTGAAGTACAGGTTCAATCGAAGCTGTTTTTGTTGGATAAATTCGTTTGATTTCTCGTTGCTTTCAAAAGTGCTTAGCCGCAAAAAAATTATTTATCGTGACTGCAGTTGGAAATATTGCAAATTTTAACTCTGTTTTAAGTCACACTCTGTAACAGGCACTCAACTTGTAAGCGAGTCTTCATAGATGGTAGCTCTCATGATATATGTATGCACCATTAAAATATCACCCGTAATATTAAATAGTTTTTCGCTTTAAACTGAGCTTGGCCATATTATTTATTTGTTTCAATTGAGAACAACATTGATGGGTCCATATGTATGCAGCTACAGCGATAAAGCTTCCGAAGCAGTAAAATGAATTTATAATTATTTAAATAAAAAAATATCTTTATGTAAAATATTCATTTTTTAATCATAATTTCATTTGCACCGCTGTGGGATTTTAATCGTTGAGCTTTTGGCCAATTATAATTGGTGCAAAAGTCCATTAGGACTGTAGATAATTGCCGAAAGAATAAAATCACTTATTGATGCATTTTTTAAAAGCTTTTATTTCGTTTCATATTCTTAACCAAATATAAAAAAAATGGTCGTTGGATAGCTGATAAACCAAAAACGAAATTGGCATCGTTCAGCGTAAAAGTCTGGTGTTGGTTCGGTGTAGTTCAATTCGGGGTCGGCGTCGGGGTGGAGACTCGGGACTCGGGTGTCTAATTCCTCAAGCGTCTGGAGAGGGATCGGCGCCTCGCTGAGGTGCTGCTAGCGGTCGAGGTGCGGTGACGGTAATGGTAACGCTTCTCCTTCTTCTTCTTCGTGTCCTTCTTGTTCTTCTTGCTCTTCTTGTTCGTCTTGCCACCCTTTTGGTGACGTGTAAATCTTTTTCTCCTCCTTACTCCTCGCTTAGCGCTGCTGGAGGCCGCGGTGGTTGCTGAAGCGGATGTTGTGGTTGCTGAAGCGGATGTTGTGGTTGCAGTGGTTGTTGTGGCTGCAGTGGTTGTGGTGGCTGCAGCGGTTGTGGTGGCTGCAGCAGTTGTGGTGGCTGCAACGGTTGTGGCCGATGCGGAGGTTGTGGTGGCAGTTGCCGCGGTCGTGGCTGTACCAGAGGCCGTGGTCTGCCGGACCTGGACGCAGGCCAGGACTGCCAGCAGTAAAACGCAAGTGTATCTCATGGTTGATGTATTCTCTGCCAAGGAACTCTTTGCCAAATTCCAGTCAAAGACGGGCTTTATATACCCCACCAGCCGCAGCGTGATTCTGCGATTGTGTTTGTCTTTGCGGGCCTTTTGTTCCATTTGAGTTCCACCTTTTGGAACTCCACAATAATGTGCGCACACAGTTGCCAGTTATCGCAGCAAAGACAAAGACAAACACAATTATTCGCAAATATAATAATGGTCTCTCTCTGCCGGTTTGACTGGCTGTACAGCTGCCAAAGTTCGGTAAGCAACCTCGAACGACACCCCAATGGCAACGGCAACGGCAACGGCATCATCTGTGGCCTACCTCTGGGTGCTAAGCTGATGATTGCATTGCATTGCATATTTGGGAGCGCAGATCAGATCAGATCAAGTAACGACGAACAAGGAACAGGAATAGTTGCCAAAATATATACACATTTAATGCCATCGATAACTAATCATAACTAACGCTCTGGTCTGTTGCTGTTTGTTTGCTGGTACAGATCCGCCGTACATATTCGTGCGAGACTGTTGTGTGTTGGTTACTTGTTGCGTATACTCGTATTCCCTGTGCTGGACTGTCCCTCGCCAGCGGGGCTGTTATTGTTGCTTCTGGCACGGGAAAGCTGTATAATCTCGGCCATGCTGCAGCTGCCATTGGAGCGGGATGGCAGTGGCAGCGAGTTCCTCGCTGAGCAGCCCTGTTGCAGTTGCTCGTCCAGGGAGCGGCGTTTCCTGTAGTTTCCCGTAGCCCCCTCGCCACTGGCTCGTTGCACATTCGAACCGGCGGTGGCGGCGGCCAACACGGCTGGGACGCTCTGGGCGCCCTGCAAGGACGGCGTCGAGGGGATCATGTCGTTAAAGTATCCCTCGTAGACGACAAAGTGATTGGCCTGCGGTATGGTGCGCACCAGGCCGTAGTGGCGGGCCATGAAGAGTATCAGCTTCGGGGATGGACGGTCAACCGATAGCTTCGCCGGGGACCACTTCTCCTGCGCTAGCATCGCCTCGAAGAGTCGCTTGCCCAGGCCACAGCGCTGGCGGGACTCGTGCACGTAAAAGTCCAGTATGGCTGGAGCCCGCTTCACCTGGTGCGGCTGGCCAGTCTCGTCGTACAAGTACAGATCCTTGGTGCCCACCTTGAGCAGCCCCAGCACACTGCCCCCTGGGTCCATCAGTTGCATCCCCCAACAGATATATGGTTTGATTGTCGCTCTTCCCCAGACGCTGGGCCGTGGTCACCGGGCTGACCAGCTCCTGGGCTGTGGCCGACTGCTGCCCCATATAGTCGACTATGGCCGCTATCTTACATGTGGTGTCCGCGGAGTGCACACGCGAGCCGGCAAAGTCCTGCGGCAGTAGGTCCGCCGACACCTTTATAATCGCCTCTGGGAACAGAGGCTTAATGTCGAACTTAAACGTAGCCATTGCGTTTGCGTTTAGTTGTCCCTTGTGTTGTTCCGGCAGGAATAATAAAATATGTTACACAAATTTATTTAAGCCTTTCACTGGGCCATAGCCCATAAAAACGCTTTTCCCATCACTTTCGGTTTGTTCGTAGTTCGATATATTTTTGTCGAAACGATATTTATCGAACGATACTTACAGGGCGGACAGATAACTGGGACAAAACTTATATGATCAAATTTCTAGATTTTTGCACCCATCAAATAAATTGAAGGACTCACCAAAATACACAAAATTATCATACATGTTACATTACATATTGAGAGCCTCCAAATACGACCCTAGTGCGTGTGCGGTCACACTAAACATCGGCAAAGAGATATCACAAGCTTGCATATGGCAAAAAAGCAATACAAAAATTGTAGGAATTCGTGCCAGAATAAATCCAATAAATGAAAATAAAAATTTGGTTTAGCTGGTGATAAAATTATCTCTAGAAATACATAATCGATACTACGAATCACGTAACAGTGTAATCACTTGTGATGTCACAGGGCAACACAGTTTCCAGCACTGGAAATTCTTGGAATTGAAGCCCGCCTCAATTAATTAAAGCGATTGAAAAAGTGTTGAAATAACTAAGAAAAACTTAGCTTAAATGCAGAGTGCAGAAGCTGCATGACCGCCTGCAAGATGGGCAATTGGTCCTGGAGATGCAGCGAAGCGAGGCCCGGCTATGCACATACACACGGAATACACAAGGAATAAGTAAGCACGTTTCCGATTCCCACATGGCGGGAGCCCCTATTAATTTTGTGTTTGTTTTTGTGTTCTGGTGCGAGTGGATTTGATCATTCATTCGACTGCCTACAAGCCTGCCGATGGTGCGAAGTGCTGAGCCATCAGTTGGACCTGCTGCAGGACAGCGAGTGACGGCGAGTTCCCCGGACATCGAGGGAGTAGTTCCTACGATCTCGTGCAATTACATAGGTTTGCACGTTCCAGGCCGGGGCTCGGCCTGTTTATACTTTGCCTCTGCAAAGCGCCGAGGTGCGATAATTATGCAATATTTATGTATGAACCTGTGGCGTCATTCAAGTGTCATCAAGTAGCGCCGAGTCACAAGCAAACACAAAGCCAACCACAAGCGATTAAGCAAACCACAAACAACCCACCCACAAGTTATGCCTGCGGCTGCTTCCACTGATCGATGGCTGATTGCCCGCCTGGGTCTGCGTCTGGGTCTGGGTACTCGTCGCGGGCGCATGCAGCAGGGCAGGTAAAGCGTTCATCGATATTGGGACCGTGCCTGTGTCTACCTGCTCGCTGTGCAGCTGTTGTAAGTACACATGCACTTGCATAACTTAATCTCGGACAGCGCCATACGTGAGCCCTACTAAATCCAGAATCATTAGCCAGTGGCACAGCCCAAAGTAAATCTCTGTTATGGTTCGCCTACAGCAGTGCCCACTGTGCCGAAGCATTGTTACATACAAGCATGCATACATGTACTCGGCAGCAGATAAAGTTGTGCCGTTCTTTTCGTCTCTTTGGCTCGCGCCTTTCCCTCGTTCCTCGTTCGCTTCAATCTAAGCTGCGCTTGCGCTGTTGCTCGCGCCCTATCGCTCTCTCGATCTCTTGCTCTCTCGATTTCTCGCTTTCGTTGAGAGCTTCGCTTGCATTCGGGCACAGGCAGCTCGGCCCGTCTGCCCTTTTGCATGTTTGGTCTTGAATTATCGTCCCCTAGTCGTAACGCCTGCTTCGACTGGCATCGCCTGGAACCAATTCTCACACTCTTGGACTGTGACTCTTCGGGAACTCTCTGTCTTGAACATACATACATACATACATACATATGTCCCATATCTGGAACCTTCCGTTATCGGTTGTCAGCCGCTATACTTCTCCTTCCGAATACCCCTACTGTATGCAGGGAACTCGGATTAAACACTTTGGATCATTGCGATGCTATTGAGTCCCACTTCAAACCACAAATTCAGGATATTAATAATAATAATTATTTGAATGGGGTTTCTTTTAATTGCTCTTAAAACTATACAAAAAACATTAATTAAAATTAGAAATTAGAAATTAGGAAGGAATTCGTTCGGGTCGGGATCAGTTCCAGGATCAGTTGCTCGATTGCTGCCATTACCACTTCTTGCCCCATTTGCTCCATTTGTTTTTCTTGCCCTTGTTCTTCTTGCGGTGCTTGCGGACGATCGTTACATTGGGTTTGTTCTTCTTGCCTCTCCTGCGGCGTATTGTCACTTTGCCGGCTGGTTTTGAGGGAGTGGTGGCGGCGGTAGTGGCACTGGCTGTAGTGGTTGCGGCTGCAGTGGTTGTGGCTGCAGCTGTTGTAGTGGCTGCTGCGGTTGTGGTGGCTGCAGCGGTTGTGGTGGCTGCTGCGGTTGTGGTGGCTGCCGCGGTTGTGGTGGCTGCCGCGGTTGTGGTGGCTGCAACGGTTGTGGCCGATGCGGAGGTTGTGGTCGTGGTCTGTGCACTGGTCTGTCGCACCAGGACACAGCCGAACAGGGCCAGGAATAGGAGAACGCAAGAGTACCTCATGTTGATGATAGTTGGAATGGCTTGCAACTGATGCTATTCCGAAGATAATCTGCGGGCTTTTATAGCTGAATGGATCTAGGGTTTCTGGTTCGGTTTCCAGCTGAAGCCACTTTGGGTTTACCCCCCAATCTGGTTACGGATAACTTGCCATTTTTCTGGGGCTTGCCAAACACAAAAACTGTGTCAGTCAATGCGAATAACAAAAATTGTTCTGGTCAAACAATAATTCGCAAATTTGCGCAACAACTGTGCAAACACGTGAGATTTTTCTTTTACTTTTCTTTTTTGCCAAACTACCGAGCAATATACATACGTACATACATACATCCTGACCCAATCGAATACCCGATAACTTAACTTTGTTCAGTTTCTAAATTTATAAGTACATACATATGTGTGTATTTATTTTCTCTAACTTTGTGGAAATTATTAAAATTTATGACAAATTAATCTAATATAATTCTGGGAGAATTCAATAAGAACTTCATGGAATTAAATGGTTTCTGTTAGGGTTTGAATTGGATGCACTGAAAGATCTGGGGCGACAAGCATTATTCTCTTTTTCCGTGGGAGTCCCAAAGGAAGTTCTTCTGCCCCCTAGGAGGGCCTCTTATGGTGGATATAGATATAGAGAGGATATTTTCTTTTGAAGGATACAAAATATACTGGGCTCTCTGGAGAACTCTTTGGCTGCAGGGAGTCAAAAATGCGAACAGCTAAAAAAGGCCATCAGTTATTTATGTGTGTTTCGATGCATTGAGCTGTTGAACTTCAGTTTCAATGGAAATCCATTAGCAGAAAAACCGAAGCCACGAAACCCGCAAAAGCAAACCCTCCCGCCCCCTTCAAAGGAGGAGCATCAGTTTTGCGTTGAAAATTTAACTGGCAACGAAATAAGAGACAACTTTCTGCCCCAAAGACAACTAAACGCAGAGGGGGCAACCTTTTTGTGCCACAAAAGAGTTGCCATAGATACCGGAACAATCATGTGAGCATGTGTGTGCGTGGGGTGTGTGTATGTTTGACAGGTAACAGGTAACAAGAAATATTGTAAAGAAAAATCAGCAACAACGATTAGCATAAAAAAGGAGACACGAGACGGCAGTTGAGGTGTGTGTGGGGGGGCTCAATGAATTCGGAGCATAGAAACCGCTGAGCAAACAACAAACAGCAACCGCGAACCAGCGAACAGAACTTCACTTTTCACTTTCCCACTTTCGGTGAGCTGAGCGAGAAATTGTTTAAATAACGCGATGAATTATTCGAACCATTTTGGAGCATAACATCGGGGCTGCTAGTCAAATGGGTTGCCTGTCGCCGCCAGGTATGCAGACAAACGAGCTGGAATGATAGTTAAATTGGGGGAGGCGGAGGCGCCTGATGGGATCTCATCTCACCCAAGAAGAAGGTTCAAGGCGGTCGCACCTGAACAAACTCAAAGGTGCTCCTGCTCGGAATGCAATTCTATGAAAATTCCATTCATCAGTTAACTTGAATTGTGCATATTTTTGATAGGGTCCTAAAGGTACGATTATTTTCCTTGGTGGACACTTTCCACTGCAATTTGGAATGCAAATAAATAATGCAAATTTATTTACAGACTTTCCAGAAGATATCACAGCTCTGTCTCTAGCTGGATGGGGAAGGGAAGGGAAGGGAAAGGGCGCATTCTAAAAGCAATTCGATATTAAAAATGTCGCTTCCCACCACACACAGACACTGGATAGAGCCATGAAGCTTCAGGGGATAAGTACTATGTACGAGTATTTGCTATTGATTTTTATTGAGACATTTTGCAAAATTAATGTCCATGATGCGGGAGCTGATGATCCCAGGAAGCACTCGACTCGACTTTTAGCATTTTGATGACAATGAAACAGAACACAGAATACAACGAGAAGGAACGTTCGAGTCGCTTCTGGGGACGCGACTCTACTTATACCCGTACTCAGTCAGTATATACATTTTTCAGCTTATAATTTTTTAGAATTTTAGAAATAAAATAAACATTTGTTTGCTACATCTGTTATCTACATCTCCTCCGCTAGAGGGTGCTCGCGCAGTGTGATATCACATGAGTCTGGAAACCAAATTTGGTTGCCCTAGCTCTTATAGTCTCTGAGATCTAGGCGCTCATCGAGACAGACAGACGGTTATGGCTATATCGACTCGGCTATTGATGCTGATCAAGCATATATATATACTTTATGGGGTCGGAAACGTTTCCTTCTCAGCGTTGCACACATCCCCTTTTACCACAAATCTAATATACTCCTTAACTCTTTTTTGAGTACGGGTATAAAAAAAATCATATCTATAATGTGTGTGTGTCTACAGACATCTTTGTCAGCTGATCTATCAAATGAAACATGGATGTCTGAAGAACAAGTTAAATCTAAACTGTTTTTGTTGGATAAATTCGTTTGTTTTCTCGTTTCTTTCAAAAGTGCTTAGCCGCAAAAAAATTATTTATCGTGACTGCAGTTGGAAATATTGCAAATTTTAACTCTGTTTTAAGTCACACTCTGTAACAGGCACTCAACTTGTAAGCGAGTCTTCATAGATGGTAGCTCTCATGATATATGTATGCACCATTAAAATATCACCCGTAATATTAAATAGTTTTTCGCTTTAAACTGAACTTGGCCATATTATTTATTTGTTTCGATTGTGAACAACATTGATGGGTCCATATGTATGCAGCTACAGCGATAAAACTTCCGAAGCAGTAAAATGAATTTATAATTATTTAAATAAAAAAATATCTTTATGTAAAATATTCATTTTTATAATTATAATTTCATTTGCACCGCTGTGGGATTTTAATCGTTGAGCTTTTGGCCAATTATAATTGGTGCAAAAGTCCATTAGGACTGTAGATAATTGCCGAAAGAATAAAATCACTTATTGATGCATTTTTTAAAAGCTTTTATTTCGTTTAATATTCTTAACCAAATATAAAAAAAAAATGGTCGTTGGATAGCTGATAAACCAAAAACGAAATTGGCATCGTTCAGCGTAAAAGTCTGGTGTTGGTTCGGTGTAGTTCAATTCGGGGTCGGCGTCGGGGTGGAGACTCGGGACTCGGGTGTCTAGTTCCTCAAGCGTCTGGAGAGGGATCGGCGCCTCGCTGAGGTGCTGCTAGCGGTCGAGGTGCGGTGACGGTAATGGTAACGCTTCTCCTTCTTCTTCTTCGTGTCCTTCTTGTTCTTCTTGCTCTTCTTGTTCGTCTTGCCGCCCTTTTGGTGACGTGTAAATCTCTTTCTCCTCCTTACTCCTCCTTTAGCGCTGCTGGAGGCCGCGGTGGTTGCTGAAGCGGATGTTGTGGTTGCAGTGGTTGTTGTGGCTGCAGTGGTTGTTGTGGCTGCAGTGGTTGTGGTGGCTGCAGCGGTTGTGGTGGCTGCAGCGGTTGTCGTGGCTGCAACGGTTGTGGCCGATGCGGAGGTTGTGGTGGCAGTTGCCGCGGTCGTGGCTGTACCAGAGGCCGTGGTCTGCCGGACCTGGACGCAGGCCAGGACTGCCAGCAGTAAAACGCAAGTGTATCTCATGGTTAATGTATTCTCTGCCAAGGAACTCTTTGCCAAATTCCAGTCAAAGACGGGCTTTATATACCCCACCAGCCGCAGCGTGATTCTGCGATTGTGTTTGTCTTTGCGGGCCTTTTGTTCCATTTGAGTTCCACCTTTTGGAACTCCACAATAATGTGCGCACACAGTTGCCAGTTATCGCAGCAAAGACAAAGACAAACACAATTATTCGCAAATATAATAATGGTCTCTCTCTGCCGGTTTGACTGGCTGTACAGCTGCCAAAGTTCGGTAAGCAACCTCGAACGACACCCCAATGGCAACGGCAACGGCAACGGCATCATCTGTGGCCTACCTCTGGGTGCTAAGCTGATGATTGCATTGCATTGCATATTTGGGAGCGCAGATCAGATCAGATCAAGTAACGACGAACAAGGAACAGGAATAGTTGCCAAAATATATACACATTTAATGCCATCGATAACTAATCATAACTAACGCTCTGGTCTGTTGCTGTTTGTTTGCTGGTACAGATCCGCCGTACATATTCGTGCGAGACTGTTGTGTGTTGGTTACTTGTTGCGTATACTCGTATTCCCTGTGCTGGACTGTCCCTCGCCAGCGGGGCTGTTATTGTTGCTTCTGGCACGGGAAAGCTGTATAATCTCGGCCATGCTGCAGCTGCCATTGGAGCGGGATGGCAGTGGCAGCGAGTTCCTCGCTGAGCAGCCCTGTTGCAGTTGCTCGTCCAGGGAGCGGCGTTTCCTGTAGTTTCCCGTAGCCCCCTCGCCACTGGCTCGTTGCACATTCGAACCGGCGGTGGCGGCGGCCAACACGGCTGGGACGCTCTGGGCGCCCTGCAAGGACGGCGTCGAGGGGATCATGTCGTTAAAGTATCCCTCGTAGACGACAAAGTGATTGGCCTGCGGTATGGTGCGCACCAGGCCGTAGTGGCGGGCCATGAAGAGTATCAGCTTCGGGGATGGACGGTCAACCGATAGCTTCGCCGGGGACCACTTCTCCTGCGCTAGCATCGCCTCGAAGAGTCGCTTGCCCAGGCCACAGCGCTGGCGGGACTCGTGCACGTAAAAGTCCAGTATGGCTGGAGCCCGCTTCACCTGGTGCGGCTGGCCAGTCTCGTCGTACAAGTACAGATCCTTGGTGCCCACCTTGAGCAGCCCCAGCACACTGCCCCTGGGTCCATCAGTTGCATCCCCCAACAGATATATGGTTTGATTGTCGCTCTTCCCCAGACGCTGGGCCGTGGTCACCGGGCTGACCAGCTCCTGGGCTGTGGCCGACTGCTGCCCCATATAGTCGACTATGGCCGCTATCTTACATGTGGTGTCCGCGGAGTGCACACGCGAGCCGGCAAAGTCCTGCGGCAGTAGGTCCGCCGACACCTTTATAATCGCCTCTGGGAACAGAGGCTTAATGTCGAACTTAAACGTAGCCATTGCGTTTGCGTTTAGTTGTCCCTTGTGTTGTTCCGGCAGGAATAATAAAATATGTTACACAAATTTATTTAAGCCTTTCACTGGGCCATAGGCCATAAAAACGCTTTTCCCATCACTTTCGGTTTGTTCGTAGTTCGATATATTTTTGTCGAAACGATATTTATCGAACGATACTTACAGGGCGGACAGATAACTGGGACAAAACTTATATGATCAAATTTCTAGATTTTTGCACCCATCAAATAAATTGAAGGACTCACCAAAATACACAAAATTATCATACATGTTACATTACATATTGAGAGCCTCCAAATACGACCCTAGTGCGTGTGCGGTCACACTAAACATCGGCAAAGAGATATCAAAAGATAGCTTATGGCGAAAAAGCAATACAAAAATTGTAGGAATTCGTGCCAGAATAAATCCAGTAAATGAAAATACAAATTTGGTTTAGCTGGTAATAAAATTATCTATAAACAGACTTAATCGATACTACGAATCAGGTAACACTGTAATCACTTGTGATGTCACAGGGCAACACAGTTTCCAGCACTGGAAATTCTTGGAATTGAAGCGCAGCCGCCTCAATTAATTAAAGCGATTGAAAAAGTGTTGAAATAACTAAGAAAAACTTAGCTCAAATGCAGAGTGCAGAGGCTGCATGACCGCCTGCAAGATGGGCAATTGGTCCTGGAGATGCAGCGAAGCGAGGCCGGCTATGCACATACACACGGAATACACAAGGAATAAGTAAGCACGTTTCCGATTCCCACATGGCGGGAGCCCCTATTAATTTTGTGTTTGTTTTTGTGTTCTGGTGCGAGTGGATTTGATCATTCATTCGACTGCCTACAAGCCTGCCGATGGCGCGAAGTGCTGAGCCATCAGTTGGACCTGCTGCAGGACAGCGAGTGACGGCGAGTTCCCCGGACATCGAGGGAGTAGTTCCTCCGATCTCGTGCAATTACATAGGTTTGCATGTTCCCAGTTCTTCCCAATCTACCCCTCCAGCTGCCGGTTCTCGGCCTGTTTATACTTTGCCTCTGCAAAGCGCCGAGGTGCGATAATTATGCAATATTTATGTATGAACCTGTGGCGTCATTCAAGTGTCATCAAGTAGCGCCGAGTCACAAGCAAACACAAAGCCAACCACAAGCGATTAAGCAAACCACAAACAACCCACCCACAAGTTATGCCTGCGGCTGCTTCCACTGATCGATGGCTGATTGCCCGCCTGGGTCTGCGTCTGGGTCTGGGTACTCGTCGCGGGCGCATGCAGCAGGGCAGGTAAAGCGTTCATCGATATTGGGACCGTGCCTGTGTCTACCTGCTCGCTGTGCAGCTGTTGTAAGTACACATGCACTTGCATAACTTAATCTCGGACAGCGCCATACGTGAGCCCTACTAAATCCAGGATCATTAGCCAGTGGCACAGCCCAAAGTAAATCTCTGTTATGGTTCGCCTACAGCAGTGCCCACTGTGCCGAAGCATTGTTACATACATGCATACATACATGTACTCGGCAGCAGATAAAGTTGTGCCGGCTCGCGCCTTTCCCTCGTTCTAAGCTGCGCTCGCGCTGTTGCTCGCGCCCTATCGCTCTCTCGATCTCTTGCTCTCTCGATTTCTCGCTTTCGTTGAGAGCTTCGCTTGCATTCGGGCACAGGCAGCTCGGCCCGTCTGCCCTTTTGCATGTTTGGTCTTGAATTATCGTCCCCTAGTCGTAACGCCTGCTTCGACTGGCATCGCCTGGAACCAATTCTCATACTCTTGGACTGTGACTCTTCGGGAACTCTCTGTCTTGAACATCTACGCACATACATACATACATACATATGTCCCATATCTGGAACCTTCCGTTATCGGTTGTCAGCCGCTATACTTCTCCTTCCGAATACCCCTACTGTATGCAGGGAACTCGGATTAAACACTTTGGATCATTGCGATGCTATTGAGTCCCACTTCAAACCACAAATTCAGGATATTAATAATAATAATAATTATTTGAATGGGGTTTCTTTTAATTGCTCTTAAAACTATACAAAAAACATTAATTAAAATTAGAAATTAGAAATTAGGAAGGAATTCGTTCGGGTCGGGATCAGTTCCAGGATCAGTTGCTCGATTGCTGCCATTACCACTTCTTGCCCCATTTGCTCCATTTGTTTTTCTTGCCCTTGTTCTTCTTGCGGTGCTTGCGGACGATCGTTACATTGGGTTTGTTCTTCTTGTCTCTCCTGCGGCGTATTGTCACTTTGCCGGCTGGTTTTGAGGGAGTGGTGGCGGCGGTAGTGGCACTGGCTGTAGTGGTTGCGGCTGCAGTGGTTGTGGCTGCAGCTGTTGTAGTGGCTGCTGCGGTTGTGGTGGCTGCAGCGGTTGTGGTGGCTGCTGCGGTTGTGGTGGCTGCCGCGGTTGTGGTGGCTGCCGCGGTTGTGGTGGCTGCAACGGTTGTGGCCGATGCGGAGGTTGTGGTCGTGGTCTGTGCACTGGTCTGTCGCACCAGGACACAGCCGAACAGGGCCAGGAATAGGAGAACGCAAGAGTACCTCATGTTGATGATAGTTGGAATGGCTTGCAACTGATGCTATTCCGAAGATAATCTGCGGGCTTTTATAGCTGAATGGATCTAGGGTTTCTGGTTCGGTTTCCAGCTGAAGCCACTTTGGGTTTACCCCCCAATCTGGTTACGGATAACTTGCCATTTTTCTGGGGCTTGCCAAACACATAAACTGTGTCAGTCAATGCGAATAACAAAAATTGTTCTGGTCAAACAATAATTCGCAAATTTGCGCAACAACTGTGCAAACACGTGAGATTTTTCTTTTACTTTTCTTTTTTGCCAAACTACCGAGCAATATACATACATACATACATACATACATCCTGACCCAATCGAATACCCGATAACTTAACTTTGTTCAGTTTCTAAATTTATAAGTACATACATATGTGTGTATTTATTTTCTCTAACTTTGTGGAAATTATTAAAATTTATGACAAATTAATCTAATATAATTCTGGGAGAATTCAATAAGAACTTCATGAGAATTAAATAGGTTTCTGTTAGGGTTTGAATTGGATGCACTGAAAGATCTGGGGCGACAAGCATTATTCTCTTTTTTTCGTGGGAGTCCGCCAAAGGAAGTTCTTCTGCCCCCTAGGAGGGCCTCTTATATAGAGAGGATATTTTCTTTTGAAGGATACAAAATATACTGGGCTCTCTGGAGAACTCTTTGGCTGCAGGGAGTCAAAAATGCGAACAGCTAAAAAAGGCCATCAGTTATTTATGTGTGTTTCGATGCATTGAGCTGTTGAACTTCAGTTTCAATGGAAATCCATTAGCAAAAAACCGAAGCCACGAAACCCGCAAAAGCAAGCCAAGGAGGAGCATCAGTTTTGCGTTGAAAATTTAACTGGCAACGAAATAAGAGACAACTTTCTGCCCCAAAGACAACTAAACGCAGAGGGGGCAACCTTTTTGTGCCACAAAAGAGTTGCCATAGATACCGGAACAATCATGTGAGCATGTGTGTGCGTGGGTGTGTGTATGTTTGACAGGTAACAGGTAACAAGAAATATTGTAAAGAAAAATCAGCAACAACGATTAGCATAAAAAAGGAGACACGAGACGGCAGTTGAGGTGTGTGTGGGGGGGCTCAATGAATTCGGAGCATAGAAACCGCTGAGCAAACAACAAACAGCAACCGCGAACCAGCGAACAGAACTTCACTTTTCACTTTCCCACTTTCGGTGAGCTGAGCGAGAAATTGTTTAAATAACGCGATGAATTATTCGAACCATTTTGGAGCATAACATCGGGGCTGCTAGTCAAATGGGTTGCCTGTCGCCGCCAGGTATGCAGCCAAACGAGCTGGAATGATAGTTACATTGGGGGAGGCGGAGGCGCCTGATGGGATCTCATCTCACCCAAGAAGAAGGTTCAAGGCGGTCGCACCTGAACAAACTCAAAGGTGCTCCTGCTCGGAATGCAATTCTATGAAAATTCCATTCATCAGTTAACTTGAATTGTGCATATTTTTGATAGGGTCCTAAAGGTACGATTATTTTCCTTGGTGGACACTTTCCACCGCAATTTGGAATGCAAATAAATAATGCAAATTTATTTACAGACTTTCCAGAAGATATCACAGCTCTGTCTCTAGCTGGATGGGGAAGGGAAGGGAAGGGAAAGGGCGCATTCTAAAAGCAATTCGATATTAAAAATGTCGCTTCCCACCACACACAGACACTGGATAGAGCCATGAAGCTTCAGGGGATAAGTACTATGTACGAGTATTTGCTATTGATTTTTATTGAGACATTTTGCAAAATTAATGTCCATGATGCGGGAGCTGATGATCCCAGGAAGCACTCGACTCGACTCGATTCGACTTGTCGAATGATGAGCGGCATTAATAAATCAATAGCATTTTGATGGCAAATAATTTGAGAGCAGCTCTGCAATGGTCTGGCCCTGGCTCTGGCTCTTCCTCGACATTCTGCCTCCTGCTGCTCCTGTGTGCTCCCGATAAGCGACTTTCATGGCCTCCAGTTATCCAGCTGCATCGAGTTTACTCCACAGACTCGTGTCAAGTTATTTTATTGATTGATGCGGACAAATCTAGTTCCTGTTGTTTGGCTCTCAGCATTGCCAGCAACAAAAGGGGCAGCAAAAATACAACCAAACACATACACACTCACGACCACACCGAATGTGTGTGTGTGTAAAAGAATATAAAAAAATAATGTCATTAATTTTGTGCAGAGCCAGCCGCACAATGGATCAAATGGGTGTTGTGTGTTTCATTGCTGTGCTGTGGATTCAGCCCTCCATGCGGATGGGCGATTGCTGGACTGGGATAAGGATGCTTAAGTTGAATCCAACTGACCGGGACTCAAATTATAAAACTAAACGAGGTTAAAGTCATTTGTTTTTTTTTGGTTACAAAATTGGACCGATTGCAGGGCTTCAAATTCAACAAAATTAAATTACTTCAATTCGAAAATAGTAATCGGAGTAGCTTTGATTTTTTAATATTTCACAGCACCTTTCGTTGGCATAATTCCATTCCAGTCTTACTACAGTCCCAGCATTGTACGAGTATATCTAAATTTGTTCAGTTCGTGCCTAAAACCATTCACAACACACACAAAAACTATTTTCTGGTAAACTATTTTGGATTATATTTTTGGAGAGAAAAAATGGACCCCTTGGCAGATTTCTGGTTTGCCCAGAATATGGATATTATAATGCGTATCTGCACAGAAGATCCCCAAGTGAGTGTTAATTAATATTAATCAATTACTGTTGCATTTTTTTTGTTTTTGGTTTTTTTTTTTTTTACAGGAATCTGCTGTACAATCATTTGTACTCAATCAACCCGAAGAAGAAGAGGATCCGGACACCATGCATTTTCTGGCGAAAATCACCGATCTGAAGAAACGTTTCAACGAAGCAAATCAGGAATGCATCAACCTGGAGCGCGACTATCCAACACATAATTATTATTTGCTAAACGAACGCCTCGACGCCAATTTGTTCACACTGAAACGGGAGATCATGGATCTTGCCGTCGATATGAAAAAGAAACACATCACCGCCCATGTGGTTTAATAATGATAATTCGATAATAGTTCACATTTTCTCAACAAATTTTCTGTAAATACTCGTACTCAATAAATTTGGTTAGCCTGCAATTTCCATCTAATTTGTCAGAACAATTGAGCTGTGGGCCTGAACAGCCTCAACCTTCTCTGGTAGTCAGATGTGTCATTGTCTGGGCAGTCGAGATTCCAGCGGAAGCACTTGGCACATTTTGGGTCTGCTAGGGGGCAGCCAAGAACTTGACAACATTTGGCCAAAGCTGGTCTCTTTTTTGCCGAGAGACGCTACTTTGAGATAGTGATGGCACGTGGCGGTCAGCTGTTTTGTTATCGCACAGCGTTGCATGCTGTAGTAGTGGTGGCAGCCCTATTCACATTGTGTTTTTTGTCTGAAACATTCCTTTGGGAGAGCTTGCTGCTGACAAAGTCGAAGATAAACGCGTTTGTTTCGCCCCGTAGTAGCACAACAACTGAAATAGGTACGCATATCATTGGAGCACTTCAAGGCACGCACACATCGAACTTTTTTATTTGATGCACAAACAAATTGCAGAATGAATGCCAAGGGAGCCGCAAAGGAGAAAATGCCGAGTGCACCGGCAGCAGCAGTTGGTACCGCTCGGATCATCACCAACTCCAAGGAGGACATGCGGGAGGATGCCGATCTGTCGCCGCGCCTGCGCAAACTTCTCAGCTGGCTGGGCCGAGCCATGCGCATTGAGACGACCAATGGACGCCTCATAATCGGCTACCTGGCGAGTGCGGACAGTGAGGCCAATGTGGTGCTGACCGCCTGCACCGCGTACAACAGCGGCGCTGACCTCAAGGATATTGCACCGCGATTTCTGGGCACCACCATGGTGCTGGGCAAGGACATTCAGTCCGTGTGTATTGTTAGGGACGAGCACGAATAGCCTGAGCCAATTGGGAGCTGTAGCTGGAATCCCAAGTGCATTGCTACTTTGTAATTCTCATACATACATATAAATCACTCTCACACAATACAAATATTTGTAGCGTTTACTCTGCTCGTGGGAAGCCGCCTGTACATACAATTTATCACGATGAGCGCAGTGCATTGCCTACCTAGACTTGCGGTGAGCACGCGGGCACAAAAACGTTTCTTGCTTCTCTGCCGCTGCGACCGCTGAGCAGAATATGAAGCCCGAAGCCACACCGAAGCTTTTAAGCTGTGCGTGCGCCGACTGCGCTGCCCCGAGAACTTTACCCACGGCACATAGCATACGACGCTGCCGGCTCTCTGGCCTAGCATACGACGCTGCCAGCTCTCTACCTAGCATACGACGCTGCCGGCTCTCTGGCCTAGCATACGACGCTACCGGCTGCTCTCTGGCCTAGATGATGGATCGTAACCTAAAAGATCCTTGTAATGGAAAACAGTAATCCGCTCAGTAGAATGAGAGTTGAGAATGGATATGATCGGTGACAAACGAAAGCTTTCGACAATTTGTTCTACTCTCACGTTAGCTAGCTCTGGAAGCTTTCCACTGTTCGTACAGCCAGCGAGGGAGAGCAAAACAAATAACGCGTATTCTGTGTCTGGGGATTGGCCTTCGCTGAGCAATATTTAACAAGCGCAAGCTGGCCAATTGATCAATGAAATCAATGAAGCGACGAAGCGCTTCCCCAATCGGATCGATGAATGGAGATTCTGCAGACGCGGCGGCTGCAAATAGTGAGGAGCTCGTAGCTCGTAGAATTTTGGCAGATATTATACGATCGTTAGAGGCCGTTGGGCGTTGACTGGCATCTGTCTGATGGCTGGAAATTTGGTGTGTGTTTGTTCGACCGGTCATTGTGCTCGTGCGTAAATAGTTAGCATTTGTGCAAATATTTAAATACGCTAATTGTTTGGCTTTGGCTGCGATATGTCTTTGACGTATTTTTTTGTTTCTTTTCGTACTCGCATGACGCAGGGACTCTGCAGAGTGATATAAATAGCGCTCCATGGGCGCTGAGAATGTCAGAGAAGAGTTTAAGCTCCTCCACTGAATTTGTTCGAGTCTCCTCAGCCAATATGAAACTTCACTGGCTGCTACTGGCAGTTTGCCTGGCCTGTCTGCTGACCCTCAGCTGCGGCTCGGGTACTGCCACCTCTACCAGCGCTGGAGGGTCGACCAGCACCACCGAGTCCGCCTCCGGCGCCAGCTCCACTACAGTCGCCACCGGCGGCAGCACCAGCACCACCACCGCCTCCGTCTCGGCCGACGACACCACCGACGCCGCCAACGCCGCCGCCGGCGACGACACCACGGTGGCCAGCAGCAGCGATGAAACTACCGAAGTCGCCAGCAGCAGCGGCACCACTGGCACTGGCAGTAGCAGCAGCAGTGGCAGCAGCAGCAGCAGCTCCTCCAGCAAGAAGAAGGCCGCTGCCAAGCGCAGGGCCCGTCGTCGAAAGGCTGCCGCAAAGAGGAGGGCTGCCGCAAGGAAGAGGGCTGCCAGAAGGCGTGCCGCTGCCAAAAGGAGGCGCAGGAGCCAGTCAGGATAGGGCAAATGATTGACCGATGCCAACTCTGCACGCAGGAAACTCCAATTTGGCTGTATCCCTTTTTGTGTATGTCATAGAGTATGTATCCTGGGCAATACAATAGTTTAAAAAATGCATTCAAAAAAAACATATAAAATCTTTTTGGATAATCTTTGGGAGAAACGAGCTGAAGTGTTGAAAAGTGGCCCTGCTTAACAGTAAACCTAATTTAATCCCTGCCCATCAAAAGTACTTTCGGAAATTCATAAAATTTAAGTTGTTCAAAGCGTAGCTCGTGGAAAATGCTGGGAAAGTGCTGGGGAAGAGTGCAGGAGAGCTGGTGCCTGGAACATTTGCAAATTGAATTTGACCCGACAGTCACAGGACAGGTTACAGGACACCCCCCCCTCCAACAAAGCAAACAGAGAGCACTCGTACGCCGCAGGGAGTGGGCTGTGGGGGCGGTGGGGGTGGGGGGGGAATGAATTTAACGGGGCATTTGGAATGCACTGAAACGGTTAGCTTGATTACTTGGCCCTGCCGTACATTGTCGCTTCAAGGGTGAAAGGTTAAAGCTGCCACCGAATCAACCCACACGAAAAAAAAAAAACAAAGACATCCACACACACCACACCACACACACACACACACACACCACACCACACACACCGCACACACTGTACAAATGTACGAGAGCTGCTCGTCCTTATACTCGTATGAGGATGCAATAAAAAAAAGCAACAAGTTGAAAGACCACGCAAGCAAAAAGCAAAAGCCATCAGGATCCACCAAACCCCCACTCCACACTTAATACCATTCCCATGCCCAATCACAAGACCAGAACAGACCCCACCCCCAGCAGCCAGCCACCCAACCACAGCACAAAACCCATCAGCAATTCGAGCACATAAAAATGGTTATAACCAAGAAAAGGAATGGTTATTGCTGACAACAAACAACAGACCGAAGATGGTTGTACCCTTATAAACATAAGACAAATTAAGGGGTGCAATGTTCTTCTCTCTCTCTCTATCTCTCTCTCTCCCTCTGTGTAAAATAAACTAATGCCACTGCTTCGCAGCCTTCGATCTGCACTGCTGCCCTCAATCAAAAGAGCTCATTTCGGATTGGTTTGATGTCATTGGGTTCCGCTTTTATTCATTAAAGGAGAACTCTATTTGAGCCCTTACTCTCACTCTTTTCGTACCTTCTTTTCACGTAGCTCTTAGATTATATATCTGCCTGAAATAATACCTTGTGGGGGCAGCTTTCTATAACCATTCAGTTGTCCCTCTGTGCTGTGAAAGCTTCTCATAAAAATATTGCAACACCCGTTGGCAGGAGGGTATCGAAATGGGAAACAATAACAAGAAACAAACAGCAATGCCAACACAATACACAGTACAATGGGCACAACTGTTGCTGTTGCTGTTGCTGTTGCTCTTGTTCTGTTTTTTTTTTGTCTTTCCCTTCGTTCTTCTTCTTCTTCTTGTTCTTGTTGTTCTGGCTTCTGGTGCCTGACGTTGCTGTTTTCTGGCATTGCCAAGTAATGACAGGCGCGAGCTTGAACTGAAAGCGAAGCGCAGGACAGCCACAGAGAGGCCACCACCACCACCCCACACCAACGGCACACTAAGAGCCGCAGAGCCACAGAGCCACAGAGCCACACTAACAGCAACAGCAAACAACGAGAGAACACAACGGTAGTCGCGTGGAAGTGACATTCGTCTTCAGACAAAAGACCAAGCACACGAAAGAGATGGGATGGGATGGGATGGGATGGAGGCGCAAGCAGCAGCCAGCAGTCACCACAAAACAAAGAGTCGGGCAGGCAGTACATGTGGCATAAGAGCCACTGCATGCTACCACCCGCCCGCCCATACAGGGCCCTTCCCTCCCATTTATCAAATTGAAGAAAAGCCATCAAATTTATATGTAGCACACCCCTTGGCGTATCCATCAAAATCATTTGATTTCATTTGATTTGGCTAAAGCCAAGCCACAAAAGTATGCCAACAATTTCCCATCCTAAACCAAATTATTACATATACATATACAACTTTATTGCTCGGATCGGCATTACTAATTGAGTTCATAAATATGTACATATGTACATATGTATGTATATCCCCCGTCTGTTTGGGCAAGTATTTAACCGTAAAACGAATGCAGTTGAGTAGATTTAAATGTAGCTAAATATTCTACAACGAAGAAAATTTAGGAATTTTTTATTTATTTATTTATTTATTTTTAATTTATTTGGTAGAGTAGATTTAAATGTAGCTAAATATTTCTACAACGAAATTTAGGAATTTATAATTTATTTTTATTTTATTTATTTAGTAAAGTCGATTTAAATTTAGCTAAATATTTCTACAAAGAAATTTAAGAATTTTTTATTTTATTTTATTTTTTTTTTTTATTTATTTTTATATCGTGCAGCTATGATCTGATATTTTATGCAAAAATAATGCAACATTTTTGTTAACATTGGATTTCGTATAAGCCATTCAAAGGGTTTTTGTTTAAGTTTTATTGATTTAATTTTTTTTTAATTATTTTATTTATTTTTTTAAATTATTTTATTTATTTTTTATTTATTTATTATTTTTAATTTACAGATATTATTTAAGAGAAAAATGCGAAGTGCAGCAGGGCGGGAGGGGGGCTACACTGATATTGCGACACTTTATTGGAGCTATTTAATTCTTTTTATTTATTTGAGCGCATCGCACCCATTGCGATTCCTGCCAGGGCATTCAGATATCCCTATCCCACTGGTTTGGTTTTTATGCGTTGCTCCCAGGACACCCAGTATTTATTTCCATACATACATATGTACTATCACGTATGTATGTGTGTGTGTGTGTGTGTATATTGATATGCTGCGCTTTGTGGCCGTTGATGTTGATATGCTCGACGTGACTTATATTACATATCTGTACACCGACACACCCACACACACATACACCAATTTATACGCACATGCATGTACATATATATGTATGTATATGTATATTGTATCCACATCTGGTGGCAGGGTGGCAGAGTGTGAGAGGCAGGCAGTGGCATACAATTACGCCTTGTTTGTCTTGTCCTCGTCCTCGTCCTCGTCCTTGCCAGTCCGTGCCTTGTTCTTGCCTGCTGCTGCCCCTGTGCAGCTGTCTCCTGGTTCTGGTTCTCGTTCTCGTTCTGGCTCTGGCTCTGTTCTTTATGTTCTCTCGTGGTTTGGCTCCTATTATTGTTATTGCTACGACGCCCAATTCTTTGGAAAATTTTCGTCTTACTGCTTATTATTTTGCAAATACTTGAGGCCAAGAGGCATCCCCACCCCAACCACCCCCCGCATGCCAACTATAAGCATGTTGGGTAATTTTTTGTATTCTCCCAGTTTACATTTATTTTTTTTTTTTCTACTCTTTTTGGCATTTTATTTGTGCGCTTCGTTTACACACAATGGAGCCGGGCCGCCTGGTGTGCGGCTTATTTTTTTGAGAGTTGACAAGTGACAAGTGCAGGACCTGCGGCAGGAGAGAGACACAGAGAGAGAGAGCGAGCGAGCGAGAGCTTAGAGCAACAAGTGTGCAAATAGCACAGATAGATTATGCTCCTCGTCAATGGTATTATTCGGGGTCATTGCTTCCATTCCATGGAATTTAATGCTCGATATGTGTGTGTTTGTTCTCTACGTAATTTTGGGACAATGCAACTTGTGGTTCCACGAGATTAGACGAGACATGTGGCACGAACATCCACTGTTAAATAGGATAAGCTAACGCAAGTGTCAGATGATTGGGCAAATGCGGCAATGGTTGATTCGATTCGTTGGGATCACAGGCGTCTGGGAGTGATTACTGAAAGTGAGAGACCAACTGTGGATTGAATAATGATAGCAGGGGGGGCCGGGCTCAAGACCTGCGGGCTGCAACAACGTTTGAGTTGTGACTGACAGACAAAAGTATCAAATAAATTACAATTATTACAGTTGGCTTCTGGCAATAGATGCAAGACCCTTTGCTTGGATTACATTTTGCCCATCCACTGGCCCATGCACTGGCCCATCCACTGGCCCATCCTCTGGCCCATGCACTGGCCCATCCACTGGCCCATCCTCTGGCCCATCCATCGCCCATTGCTTCCCATTCGCTCTGCAAATTGCTTTGCCTAATTTGGTCTACTTTTTTCTTTATTGTTTTGTGCTCATGGCCTTCTGGAATTCGTATGCAAAGAGCGCATAAATTTAATCAGTTAGTGGGACGGTTTTTTTTTTTCTTGTTGTTTTTGGCTTTTGTTTTTGCTGTCCTTATTGCTGGTGGGCGTGTAGCCATGCCGTGTAGGTGTGGCCAAGGCTCTGCGTGTTGGCCAAGACAGAGAACAGACAGCGGACATGGACTCGGACTCGAACTCGGACTCGGACTCGAACTCGGACTCTGGGGCGGACAGACCGGACACGGATAGCGGCATCTATGCCGGGTCAGAGGTCGGGTCGCATGTTCTGCACATGCCAAACTGCCAGAGACTGGCAGACAGAAGGTGTCCGAAGAGCAGGAGCTTCTCTCCTTCTCCCTTTCCTTCTCTCCTACTCTCCTTCTGGGCATCCATTGATTTTCGAGACTTTTTTTTGTTGTCTAGGTTTTTCTTTTGGGTTTTTTTTTCTTCTCGTTTGGGTTTGATTTTGTTTCGGTGCCTTTGCCGTTGCCGTTGCCTTTGCCATTTCCTGTGTGTGCTAAACCAATACAGCAACTTTTCACATGTCTGCCTGTTGGCTGTTTGAATTGCGTCCTAATTGTACCACTCAATATGTGTGTGTGTGTGTGTGTGTGTGTGTCTCTGTCTCTGTCCCTGACACTCTGCCTTCTTGGGTTTCATCGCTGGATAAACGAGTGTGCGATTGTCAACGTATTTGAACGAATACAGACAAAAGCCACCGCCTGGACTTATCCCCTCAATCCCTGCCAATCAATCAATCAATCAATCAATCAATTAGCCAAATCATCTAGCATCTGTGCATCAATCATTCAAACTCTCAGACACTCACGCTGATCCCCCACCCGTATAAGGATCAATTTTTAATATGACTCTCAGTGACTTTGCTTCAGTTTTAATATTTTTCTTATTTGCTGCCTTCAACCTTTCGAGCCACAGAGCTTCCAGCTTGGATAGC